TAAACATAGAATGTCTTGGTAACACATTTTTATCAAATAATAACTATAATTTAATTGAAAATATCACATCATAATAAATAACTAAAAATATTATATTTTTTTAATTTAAATCATAAATAGTTTTAGGACTATAAGCCATAAGTTTTATAGTGATAAAGTCAAATCATAAAATCAATATATTCAAACTATGAAATTACGCATAGTATTTTTTCTATTGTAATATAATTATGGTTTAGTCATCTCTTATTCTAAATATATTTTGATGTAATTTCTAAAGTATATTGTGTTTTAAATTTTACATCAATATTTCAATGAATCAAATCAAAACTAAGTTCATTTTAACATAACATAAACAAATACTTTTATCAAATTAATTTAGAGGTTAAAAACCATCTTATTTATTGGTTGAAAATATTATTATAAAAGAAGAGAGTAAAAAATTTCAAATTGGGAAAGGATATTATCAATAAAATGAATGTTTCGTTTGCATACTTAAATTTATTCAAGGATTTCATACCAAAATATTGATTTCGGATTTTCTATATTTTAGATTTAGTGGCATATAAGATTATTAGGTGTCAATATAAATATTAAATTTATTTATTGGTGAAAAAAGCAATTTATTTATTAGGTTTCAATATTTAAATAAATTTAATCAAAAAATTAATTTCAAGTAATTGTATAATAAACACTTATAAAATTTATTTATAGGTGAAGAGAGTATTTTGTATATTATTCTAAAAATTTTTATAAATGCAGAGAAAAAATATCAAATTTGGAAAGAATTTTATTATAAAAAAATATTTTTCCCATATTCATATTTACTCAAACATTTCTTACCAAACTTTTAATTTTATATTTTCCATATAAAAATTATTTGACATATTAGGTGTTAAAAAAGGCAGCATAAAAATAATTTTCTTTTCTTTTTATTCAATTCCTAAATTGGGTTGCATAAAAAAGCCACAGAAGCAATGACATATGTCAGCTCTTAGTAATGCCACTTGTCTGCTCTTAGCAATGCCACATGGCAGTCTATTAGGATCAATAATGATGGCGGTTTCCGGCGGGTCGGAGCGTTTTCCGGCCAACTCCGGCGAAATTGACGGCGGGCACCAACTCCAATGCGGTCGTGGCATCCGGGCGACCTCCAGGGACACCTCAATTGCAAGATTTGATGACGATTTGCAAAACCCCCAATTTTGGACCCAATTTCGAATTTTAGGGTTTTTCGAGTAGAAAAATTCAGATTCGAGAAGTTACAGGCCAAATTAGACAAAATGGTTTGGATATTATTGATCCTCGTCTCAAAACGAAGAGAATGACATTGGTCCCGCCGGAATCGAAAAAAGTTCATTTTCCGGCGATCGGCGGGCGGCGGCGGCAGGGCCTGGAAGAAAAGAAATAAAGAAATGGGGTCAAATTGAAAATTTTAAAATATATAAAATTCGAATTTGGCCATAATGACCGGAAGTTAACCTAGAAACGGGCTAATGGCTCATTAGTGAAAGGATTGTGTAAGTTCAGGGATTTTTGTGAAAGGATTTGAAGTTGAGGTACCACTTCGAAATTCCAGCTAAAGTTCAAGTACCATTACTGAAATTTACCCCAAAAAGTTTACATACTCCAAATGAAATTGATACCATCTGATCTATGACTACTCTTGAAGTTATTTATAAGGCAAATCTCAATAGTGTTATATTTTGCAATGACTATCAACAAAAGTCAAAGTCAAACATTGTCATTTCTTGCATTACTTTTAACCAAGTTGGTATTCACTCATGGTCAGCTTTATGTTATGGTTCCATGAGTGAAAACAAAAACACAATTAAAAATATTGGTTGTAGATGATAATGATACCCTTGCAACTATATCAAAAAATTTATTTACCCTACAGTCTTTCAAAAAGTTTGGTATTAAAAAAACTTGGTTGAATACACATTCAAATCCTCAAATATTGTTTATTCTACTTTGGAATTTTTGTATATAGTATTAAAAATCATAGGGAAATATATTTTCTTTATTGTGGGAAAAAATATTGCATTAAAAAGGTTTTAGAACCAAATAAAAATTTTGTTCGACCCCGTGCATTGCACGGGTAAAAATACTAGTACATTTTGAACATTAAGAACAGTTAATTTTGATCAGAACATTTAGCTAGAGTTTCAAGTTTCAACATAAGATTGTAAATTTGTAGAGTTTTGACAATAAAATTCCAATGAAGAATTTGTCATTAGCATTTTGAGTTTGACAGTTAATGCGAAAATTTTTTTAAAATAAAAATAATAAATTTCATATTTTGAATTATAATCAATTTCGTAAAAAATCCTTTGGATTTTGTAAAGCTCCAAATTTTGGTCTATCAATTCATAATCACTACCTTCGTTCCGGAATATTTATCCAGCTTTGACTTTTCTCAATCAACCACAATCGATTTTGGCCTATAATTCTTTAATAAATATTTATTTGGTATGTTAATTAGAAAATATATATCATATCTTGAAAGTATCTTACAAGATAAATCTATCGAATAAAATTATTCTTAAATGGAAATATGATACAAATTTTATTTAATTAATGGTCAAAGTTTATATATTGTGATTGTAGAAAGTTAAAATTAGACAAATACTTATAGACAAAAATAGTACTAAATTGTAATTAAATCTTGATTGAGATGGCCAAATTATATTTTTGAAGTATAGATAAAGACTAAATTATGAGTAAAATATAAAGAAAATATCAAAATAGAATATTCATATTTTTTTTCTAAAATAGGAATTTTGACAATAAAATCAATATGTAACATCAAAAAATACTTATGAAAAGCCATATGCAGTGTCACATTATTATAGTATAAACTCTTATTTTGAAGATAAAATATGAAACACTTATTTTAGAGAAAAATATTTTACTTCTATCTCCCCCACCCGCGTTCACCTACGCTGCCCTACGTTTATCCGCC